ATGCCCAAAGCAATCAATTTTTATAGCCCCAATTACACTATCCTTTTGAAACCGTGCCAAAATTGGTCCGAGTACGGTAACCATGAAAAATGCTGAGTGTAAATGGCACGCACAACTGAACCGGATCGTGCCAGACTCAACCGAACCGTACTAAACTGGTTCTAGTTCAACAGTAGTTCAGTTGTGGCTCTGTTCTAAGATAACAAAGAGCACATGAGCAGACTGTATCTCCTATTTACAGTCAGCTTCCAGTAGATGGCGGTAGGTGGAGGGTCCTCAGCAGAATGATGGCTGGAAACTGAGTCCTCAGCAGATTGGTAGGTGGAGGCTGGCTCCTCAGCAGATTGATAAGTCGAGGCTGGTTTGCTAGTTTTGATAATATCTAATTATCCTTTTTTAAAGGTAAATACTCATTCCACTAGCAGATGATCTTGTTAGCTCATATTAGTATGGCAATATCTTCACAAATTGCATCAGTGAATTAAAAGCCTGGTTCACCAACAACTTCCTTCAATTAAACAGTAGTAAAACTGAGGTGCTCCTCATTGGCACCAAAGCAACTCTTTCCAAAACTGACAGTTTCCAAGTTACTATTGATAGCTCCTCCATCTCCCCATCCCCCCAAGTTAAGAGTCTGGGTGTCATCCTCGATAGCACACTATCTTTCCAATCCCATATAAATAACATTACCCGGTCTACCTATTTCCACTTAAGAAACATCAACCGCCTCTGTCCCACCCTTACCCCACACACTACTGCCATACTTGTGCACCTCCCGATTAGATTACTGCAACTACCTCCTCTTTGTACTTCCTCAGAAATCACTCCACAAACTACAACTGGTCCAGAACTCAGCTGCTCGCATCATAACAACAACTCCCTCTATCGAACGGTCCTCCGACAGCTCCACTGGCTCCCCGTACAATCCGCATTCACTATAAAATTATCATGGTGACATTCAAAGCACTTCACCACCTTGCCCCCCTCCCATATCTGTCAGGCCTCCTGCATGTTCCCACCCCCTCCCATGCCCTTAGATCCTCATCTGCTTTACACCTGCCTGTCCCTTCCGCCCGTCTCACCACCATGGGGAGCAGAGCATTCAGCCGCTCTGTCTCCCGCATCTGGAACTCTCTACCACCCCAACATAGAAACACGGACTCAATTCTCCATTTTAAAATCCAACTCAAAACCCATATGTTTAAGATTGCGTATTCTCTTTAAATATCAATTTCATTGTCACAGCCTCTGTATTTTTTTAATGTTTTTATTTTGTTTCTGACACTGTTTTATACTTTGACACCTTGAGTGTCCAGAAAGGTGCCTTTTTAAATAAAATGTATTGTTATTTTTATTAGTAGCAAATGCATTCATATAAGAAATCTTTACTCATTTTATACCAGTTTTTGCAATTGTCAGACAGGTTGCTTTGATTTTTTTTATTCTTTAATTTATTTAGTTTGGTTCTGCATTACTGATAATTAGGTCTATGTGTGGCTAATAAAACTGACTTTTTTTTGTGGAGAGGGGACTTAGTGTAGGTTCCCATGGCAATGTGCTAAACCATATATATACTGAAGTCTTTTGGCTCTTCTATTTGCAATGCCAATGTGCTAATGAGCCAGACAGAATATTTTGGGGATTTGTGATTTGCCTTCGACATTGTGCAATATGGTGGATCATAAACTTAAAAGTGGTTCACTGTGCTCCCTGTTGCACAACATAATTACGAAAGAATGTGAAATTTGTCTGCTTGACTCTTTCTGCATTGTACGCTTAATTGCTGTTCACTAGTGAGAGTCAACAAGGCATACATTTAAGTTTGAATCCAGAATACTGTCATGTTTTAGGTCTACTTATTTCTTTTTTTTTTATGTAGTCGGTGCAAATTTTCCATATTTCCCTATATGAAAATATATATTCCAAGTTTTCATGTACTATTAGTCTATATAAAGGTGCGGTTATAGGTGTGTATTCATTCTTGAGCGGATTGACTAATGAAAGGGACAGGCCTTGACTGGAATAGTTAAACAAGTGGGTGTGTCCATGCAGGATGGTAAACTTTGTCCAAACCTGTTCACATTGTCTGCTTCTTCAAGCTTACATACCTCCAGACAGGATACTGCAGCGTTCTCAGTGTTTTTCTTTACAAAAACTTGTTTCTATCTATATTGGAAAATAACTTTTAAAATGGCAGAAAAGACTGTGAGTGTTTACATGGCCAGTGTGAGCGGTTCCCTGGAGGTACAGTATGACTTTATTTCCTCTTGTATTTTGCAGCTACATGCAGAAAATACAGCGAAGCAAAGCATTTTGGTCAATGTATTTTGTAAGTGTGGACCGGGGCCGGAGAGTCAGACGTATTTCTGGAAAAAATGATCACGTTGATTAATAAAAAACGTTTTTCTTGCAGATGAAGAAAAGTCAAGACAGAATATTTTCTGTTCTCTCTTCAAAGAAGATCCCCTTCAAAGCTGTGGATATTACCCAAGACTCTGAATACAAAGATTTAATGAGGAAGATCGCTGGCAATCCTACAGCACTTCCCCCACAAATATGCAATGGAGATCAATACTGTGGAGTAAGTTAAATTCCTCTTGAAACAGTGATACGAATGAGAAAAAAATTAGATTCAACTCCTAGGATTAATAAACAGCTATATTTAACATGAAGAGTTTATTACACATGCTCTTACCTAAGTCCGCCTTGCAGTAGAGTAGGGCGATGACACATTGATTAAATAAATATGCATTATACAAACCACATTTTTGTGGATCCACAGACACTGCTGAAATTCTTAGCAATAATCTCCAAAAAAGAAAACATTCCCTTTTTATTTTAAAGATCTACAATTCTGTTTGCCATATTTTTTTTTACCCCTCCCTTGTTCAACACACCTACATCAAATATGTGAATTATTGCCTGTAGAATGTAAGCTAGTTCTTAAGACTCCTCCTAATGCCCCTAATGTACATAAGACATATATAACTTGTGGGAAAAAGGCCAATGAGGTGTTTTAGAACCCTGATATTCTAGCCCTGACTGCTAACTGTTGTTTTCCTACTTGCAACTAAACTTATTAACAACTAGTCCCAAGTATTTAGCTCCATCCACTTCATATAAATTTACATTTCAGTAGCAAGATGATTCCATCTACCCTGTTTTATTAAGGGGATTTTTGGATTTTGGATTTTATGATTATGATCAATGTTAGTCTTATCAGACTTGTTTTTTTTTTAAATATTTAAGAAAACTCCAAGAAAGGGCAGGCAATCTGATGTTTTAATAAGTTTAATAAACAACAAAAAAGTCCAGAGAAAAACAAAATCAACAGAAGTCATGAATAGTGCTTACTTCAATAACATGCCCTTGGTGGGCTTCTCCTTCGGTCGCCCGCATTACCACAGTGCAGTTTGTGAAAACATGATTGTTAAAGATTGTACTGTAGCACTTGTGCATGACTTATAGACCTATACACAGTCAAAGTAGTGTCAGTAATAGGAAAAATTGAAAATGCATTAATGAACTAAATCTAAGAGAGAATTGATAACAGAATGTGAAGCATGTAGGACTAATTGAAAATGTACAACTAACATACAGAGCATACATAGATAAGGAGGAAGCTAAAAAAAAAACGACTGAGCTCTGTTAGAATTGTTTCCGAGTTGCAAAACACAGAAACAGGTTTGACAAGGCAAACAGAAAAGACATCCAACCCGAACGGGCAACAAAAATAAAACAGGACCTCCCAGTCAGAACAGATCTCAACTAATATGTGTAAACTCGAATGTGCAAAACCTATTTAGTTATTTGTTTGTTTATTTATTATCAATCAAAATAGGTAGATAAGACTCTTCAGCAGTTCAAACTCCTGGGGCTTCAATTTTTTTTTTTTTTACCACACTATCATAAGGCTCAAACCCAATTGTTTTAATATCATGTTGGGGGACTGTTGGCCTAGTAGGTTAGAGCAATTGAAAGGTTCCAAGGTTGAGAAGGTTGCAAGTACCCGGTTCGATCCACACAGCCTCCAGTCTGTGTTCCTGAGCAAGATCCTTAACCCCACACTGCTTCCTGAGCGCCCACAATGGGAGCCCACTGTTCCCCAAAGGGAAAGGTTAAATGCAGAGAGTGAATTTCTAAAATGTAAGATCAATAAAGTTAAATTTTTTTTTATGCTAACCACACTTTTTCCCTGTTTTTCAGGACTTTGCTGCATTCGAGAACGCAGTTGAGTTGAATCAACTTGAGCAGTTCCTCAAGCTTTAAAAGAAATACCAAGGAGCAATGTGGGAAATCTGGAAATACCATTGTTGAGCTAATTGCACAGTTATAAAGGAATATAATGTTGATTGCATATGTGCTTGTGATGTGTTATTAATATTACTTAAATACTACCAAGAAATGTTTCCGTCAAATGTGAGGAATAAGTGGGTTTTTTTGGTGTAACAGTACATTTTTAA